CCACCTTATGGTATGTGCCTAGGTGGTATATGTCTGTTTTGTTAGCTGCGTTGTTTCTTTTCTTTTAATTTTTCTTTTCTATTTTCTTACGTAATATTACTAATTATTATATATATATATATATATGTGTGTGTGTGTGTGTGTGTGTGTGTGTGTAAAGTAAGTTTCTGTCACCGAGTTTAATAAGCAAAGAAATTAACAGGCTAGCCATGATGTACAATACAAAATGAAAGAAATCTTTATTTATTTTATACATGCCAGAAAGCCTATTACATTTTTAACACTACGTTGTTTATCTAGTCTCTTAGGGGTTTTCAAGAATTAGAAGAGTGTATAATAATAGTATTCCAACCACTATATTTGTCATATCCATAGTCGAGGACGCATTTCGCTCAATTCAGAGCTCTTTAGACCGACTGGGACACAACAAACACTGTAGTGGTCGGAACACTACTTATATAAGCCATTTGATACAATAACAATGGTTATGATGTGCACGCCTTTTACAATATGACTAGGCATAATTACAATTATACTTGTCATAAGACATTAGTATTAGGCCTATTATATTTTAACATTACCTTCTTTATTTAGTCCCTTAGGGATTTTCAAGAATTAGAAGAGTGTATAATAATAATATTCCAACCACATTATATTTGTCATATCCACTGCTGACGATGCGTTTTACTCAATTCAGAGCTCTGGATACTGATCCATAGGGCCATAGTGTATTGGTCCAATGCGTTGTAGGAATATCATATTACTGAAAAGTATGTTCTCATTGGTTTGATTGTTACGAAGCACATTGATTTAAATCGTTATGGTTCTTAATGGCTTGCCATAGGAGTTTCAGTCAAACTGAATTAATGTTACAAGTGGTATACTTCATGGATCATTCTTGAGACCTATACTCTTTTTGATTTACATTAATGACATAGATGAAGTAATTGTAAATAAGTTATTTAAATTTGCTGATGTTATTATGGTAACATATTCTATAATTAGGCGGGTTCTTTTGGATTATTTAGTAAAAAAGAATGCTAAGTCCAACATACGTAACAATAACAAATTAATTAATTTCTTCTTTAATGTTTGCTACAGGCTACGATCACTTTGATACAATTTCACAGACACTGCTTGAACAGATATTCCGAGACTAAGGGTACGCTTAACTCACAAATAAACTTACTTACAGGATTTCCTCGCTAATTGATAGAGCAAGTGAACAGACGCGATAATTCTCATTACTGACACTGAACTGAATCACTCACAGCATACTTAATAATTCTTTACTCATTGATTAACTGCTTTATTTTCATTTTACTTATACTGTTATCGCCTTCTCTCATTAAACGAATATTCTAGGCCATAATATTACGCGTCCTCTAGCAAACATTTAAATTAAAACACTGAAAAAGAAAGCTTCCAGCAACTATCCCATTTCTTTAATGTGAAATTTCTGCTACACAAATAAAACTATATTAAGGTGTCCAAGTCTTTTTGGTGATTTTCTTTTCTAAGGGTTATGGTATAAAGATGTGACAACTTTTGGATCCTTGTTGTCACTCGGGAATTCCTACCTGTAAAGGTGATCAAGCGAATCCATTGGTGACTCTACCCATGGTGATCATCTTGAAGTGGTCTCCACAGAAACTCTGAGCTTTTCCGCAGGTTGAATTTCTGTTGGCAAATTCTTCTCTGGTAGACTTATTCATTTTATTTTAGTTTTTACTTCCAACGCAAAAATTTAGGTTTCGATACTCACTATAGGCAGAATAGATAACCCATTGTTTTTATTTCAGAAGCTTATATTTAAATATTTAAGGAATAAATCTAATCAATGTGCCTAAGTTATATAAATGTATGTATATACATACATACATATACAGTTTTAAAGGTGGTGCTACTGTTCCAATACACGTGTTAAAAATATAAATTAATCAGTTTGACTCTAGCTTACTAAGCCTAATGGTACGTTATTCGTAGGAGGGACAATGTGTTTCAAATTAGACTGATAGTTAATTTATTATTTCGCACAAAACTATGTTGCACATAGATGAAAAATGTAAGAAACACACACCTAAAACTATATTTAAAACTAAGCGAAAAGAAAACAATTTAGTGAAAAATTCTTCAGGCTGTAGGTTTATGCAGAAAGAAAAAATAGACCCTAAACAACAGGATCAAACTAAAAAGGTATTGTCAAACTCAAAGACGTGTGCTGTTTTTCCGAAGAAAAATATTAATACGGTATCAGCAAATTGGAAGCAATTAGTAGAGGTAAGTCTTGGCAAATTGTAATTAATTTTTTCTTTTTTAAGAGAGATCGCTTAATCATTAAACTTGAAAGATAAAATTGCTATTCGATTGACGAAACAGTATTTTATTTTTATGACACTAGCACTAGCAGTAAATAATGTTTGTAAATTATATATTAACTTAATAATGAATTGTGTTCCAAGTGGCTCTTGTCACCGGTATGAAGGTGGCAATTAAAACCACGATAATACTACTGCCACCGAAAACAGTAAATTAAACTGCAGTTTGAGATATACCTATGTCGATTGCATATAGGTTGCAAACTGCTACAATTGTCTACATTCTGTCACCTCGCAACACTCAAATATATCATTGCTTTGCAAATGTAGTAATACATCATCACACAAATATTTTTACCATAGCTAATGATGTACATTTAATACAATTGCATGCTATCAATTATTACATCTGTTACAAAAACATTTAGATTTAAGCTTAATACCTGGAAGTTTATCTACATAACTTCACAAGTAAAGTGATACCACAATGGCACATTATCAGTTAGTAGACATACAATGAAAAAGTTTTTAGATTTAAGGTAAGTTCCTGAAAGTAAATCTACAGAAGTAAAGTGATACAACTTTTTACATGTACTGCATAAAACCATTTCATCTTTAGAATGTGTTAAGCAGCAAGTGCAATAAACTTTAAAGACTGACTTAATAATTTTTCCTAGTTTGTATAAGGTACATCCTGTGTAAAATTGGCTTATTTTCATTGTTACGATGCACTGAAACAAATGCTTATATAAACTATCTTTATCAGAAAATGTCAAATAGGATGGGTTCTTTCCTTCTGCCAGTACATGTGCAAATGCTAAAGCAAATACTCCACAACTTGATCCATCTGTTTGTTGCTGCACTTCAGGAAATACAAAATATATTCTCTGATTACTAGTGTGTGACAAAGTTGCAGTCACTTCCTTTGTATCTATGGTTACATCACCAGCTCTCCAACTGTCATACACTTTGACAACGTTTTTTTTACATCCAGTGTTTGTAGGACACGCACCCAATGTGTGTCATCACAATTCAATGTTTGCATAAACTGCCTTTTAGGTGAGAAAGTTAATGTTCTAGAATGTATCACATTTTCAAGATCACTTGCACCTGAAAATGTTTACTTTATTAGAGCTTGACCATAATTGATGATGGAGCCATTCAAGCAATTAGAATGAAGACATTTCATGTCAGGTTCTATACACTCAAACGCCTGCTATTTCAACAACTACTGTGTTAGGAAGAAGGTTATCATCAGTTGTAATGTCAATCATCATTGTATCATTCACCTTTCTTGAACAGGAACACTGACATTTCCTTTGTCAACACAAGTATATCTTTGCTTCTTGGTTTTTTTTTTTATTTTCTTAGAAGGCCAAATAATCCCACTGTGTTTAGGTTGACCTTTTGGTTTTGCATGAGAAACTGTAGTTATGTTTTCTCTTAAACATGACAGAGAAAACATGAAGCCTGTAACAAATCACAGTTTTGATAAATACAAGAAAAAGGTGCACACACATATAGCTATATGTTGTTATTTTATGACATTATATACATATATATATAAATGCATAAAAAATTACCATATTTTCTGCTCCAGCATTATCACCTACAGCAGTAACATTTGTACTAAAATCAGGATCAGTGTTAGGATCATCATTAGAATCATTTAGATGATCATCATTAGGATCAGTGGAGTGATCATCATTAACAACAGCAGGGGCACAAATGGCAGAATCATCAACAACAAGATCAACAGATGCATGAGATTTCCTGGTAAATTCAACATGTGAACTCAGATTCTGCAGTGTGAATAAATTACATTTTGAAACATTTCAGAGGGTGAAGATGTTAGAGATGTCATTTCTTTTAACTTTTGATTGAGACTTTCTAATCGATTGTTGGTAGCACTGCAAAAATGAGCAGCCTCATCAAGCTCATAAGTAACCCACATTGGTTTGCAGCTAGCCCAATTGTCAGTAAATGCTTTTTGCAGTGCTTCATTTGCAGAATCAAAAGACTCTTGCTTGTATTTAATACACTCCTCTTGGCTGTTTGAATGGACCAGCATTTAAATAACCTGACGGCATTCTTCGTGGTTACATCACAATCTCATAAACACTTAAACGGGGCCTTGATTACATTCCACTGGCAGTACAGTGTAACTGCATTATGAAACTCTTCTTTAAGTACGTTATATTCTGAAAAACCATTGTCAATGATTGTCACATGCACTGAACCCCACTAAGCATTCTTATCTTCAAATAGTTGCACAATCTTTTGCAAATGGACTGTATCTTCTCATACTGTTGCTGCGTAAAAGATATTTTGGCCATGCCAAAAACCACAATGCACATTGTAGTATGTATATTCAAACTGTGATGAATCACTGAATTTATTTGAGTACTTTTTACCTGCCCTTTTGTGATTATAGTCTTCCACAGTCTGGCTGTTAAAGGTGTGAAACAGGTGAGATCCTTTCTTCTTAGGGTGATCAAGACTAGTTTTAAATTTCCTGAAAGAAAAGGTTGTCCCAAAGCATACCTGTTGATATTCTCCACTGCAATCAATTGGCTCATGATCACTAACTTCCTCCATTTTAGGGGGATTGGTCTGAGGGACTAATTTAAACTGTTGATGTCAGTGTCAATAACTTTTCTGTTGCAATGACTGCCACCTTTCTGATTGTGACATTAGAAACAGCCTAATAATATTGATTGATAAATTCAGTTACTTATTCGAAATTTGTATTTTTAAATTTTAGCCATTTTTTTTCTTCTTAGTTCTTGGTGGTGTTTTGCATAACAAGCAAAAACACCTACTGATTATGAAAAAGGCCATACATATTTTTAACACACAGGACTTTGTAAAAAATCAATATACCCTGAATATTTAAGCTGTGGTTGCAACTATACCTTTTTCAGGCTTTTGTTAAAATCAAGTGAAAATTTTAGACTTGATTACATAATGAACTGTAAAAATGAATTTTAACCGTCTTTTTGCAGCTAAAATAAACTTCTGAACATTTATTGATGAAAATAAACATTTCTTCATGACTGATTATAAATCAGAAAAATACTAGACATTACGTTATTAGGTTTTATTGGATGTTAATCTTGTGCATGCCTTTTAAAATTTTTTCACCTGTATAGTAAGTAGTACTGCATGACCAATCAGTATCAGTAAGGTTGAAATTTAGGATATTTATTACTAAAGAAACTAATTATTCATTAAAAATCAGTCATTAAAGAAAAAAGTATAGCATTGTTACAGAGAGCTGGGATATTTGGCTTTTGAACAGTATTACTAAATAAATTAATAATTATTAAAAATAATGTTCTTAGGTTTCATGTGATAAAAGTACTAAATATTCTTGCTACAGTGTGGTACATAATAAATAATTCAATGAAAACAAATTAATTCCAATCCTGAAAAAAGAAAGTGCAGTGTTTACTATTTGAAAGAAAACTTGTAATGATACTTGATGACTTTGTGGAAGAGATTACTATGATTTATAAGGTGGAAATAGAAGTTTTATGAGAAATAATATGACAAAGCAGTACCAGAAAGATGTCTAATTACAAGTGTTTTGGCATTATTATTTTTTGTAATTCCATCATCAGCTTGAAAAACTTAAAAAATATGTAACATTAGAAGTATAAAACCATCATAAGATTTCAAGTAAAAAGTTGTTAATAGGGGCAGAAGCTTAGAAAGAACACATTAAAATGATTAATACAGTACATTTTATAGCACAGGCTGGAAGAAACTAGAAATGCATAATCATTCTGAGAAATAAATAAATATAGCAACTTACTATATTAGGCAGTGTTTTAGTGGCATGTAATTATAACAGACTTTCATTTTCCCTTCTAAGTGCTTCCCATCTAGCTGGAGATAATTGCAACTAGGCAGTAGTACTGTTCATGTAAATAGGTTAGCAGCTTAACAGTGTTACATACTGCAGTGTTTCTGTTAAATAACCATCAATAATTATTTAGATGGCAGAGATAGACGTTGCCAGTCATTCGCCAACCTTTCTATTACTATTAGGGGCAGTTATCTTAATGAATTTATATTAACCACCTGGGGTCTTGTAATGACTTGTACAACCTTATAACCACTATGTAGTCATGAAACTATGCATACTATAATTCTAAATTTACTAAATGGATGTTACAACATTTGGCAAGCTTTTAGTAAATGTGTTTCTCGATTGAAACAGAGAACTCCTTTTGGTTGTTTATGTCACAAGCTAAACACTTAGCAGAAGGCTTCAGGATTTTATCAGCAATTATATCAAACTTTTTCTCGCAGAATAAATGTGTTCCTCTCACACAAGAATTAAGTCCTTTCCGTATTTCTGGATCCAAAGTGCACAATTTTACACTTCACAATATTGAAACTCATTTTGGAAAAAATTAGTGTCTAAAGGCTATCCTTATTTCTGACATAATTCAGTGTCATTCTTTTTTGGCAATGAAGGAACAGAAAGTAACGTAAGTACTGAAGACACACTTTTCTCCACTTCAGATAAAAATCTTAGCATTCCATAAGTATTTAAGTTAATTATATAATGTGTATTTTTTTTTTTTCAACTTAACAAATATTGTTGACCTTCATATTCGGGGAGAAATAAGATTGTCTAGAGGCCCACAAGCTTACAGTTAAACACAAATGAGAGACTATTGGTCAGTCACATTCTTCCAATGTGAAAAGTGTTCATTTCTCATTTCCCTTTTCTTTCTGCCACAAAACCAATTTTTATATACTTTTTTTTGACAAATTCTATGGACATTCAACTTGCTACTAAATCTCTTATCAGAAGCATTTTTCTGAAAGTCAAGTGTAAACAAAGCTCCAGTATTTGTTAATGCCAAAAAATGCTTTCTGAAACCATGCTGACAATTGTTTGGGAAATGTAACTTTTTGAATACTTTTCTAAATCATTCTGACAATCAATTCCAACTCCCTAGTAATATGCTTATGGTTTCTCAGATTCTTACCATCTTTTTTTTTTTTTTGTTAAATAGTGATTACATTAGCATTCTTTCAATCATCAGGAGCTCTCTCAGTTTGAAAGATTTTTGAAAACTTCAAACAGTAATTTAAATTAAAATTTTCAAAAATATGGGTCTACATATGAGGTTCAAGAAGTTCTGGGGGCCTTTAGGACTAGCTGCACTAATTTACATGTAAGGAATAACTCAAATATGTATCTGTATATAGTTTTTGTAATTTTCAAAATGGGTCTCCTGATGGGGAGGTGAAGGGGGCTTTGGAGACTAGGGTTTGGTTGCACATATATTCTTGGAAATTGACAAGAACATAAATAGTCATTCAAAACAAGGTGTGTAAATTTTTCATACTTTTTTCTTATGAATTTTTACAGTTAATTGACTAGTTGTATGTTAAATGATAATTGAATAATAAGTAGTGAGTAAGGAATTATTCTACACAATTAAATTTTGGTAGTTTTTCAGTATCGAAAGTTACGTAAAATTTCACTTAATTGTTCAGAACTAGTATATATTTTTGTGGGTTTTAAATTTTTTAATAAATGACTGAAACAATCCTTTATGTATAAAAACAGTTGCTACCTAATTCTGTTTTACCATAATATTCTGATTATAAACTGCACTGTTTGTAAGCTGCACCATTGCACCTTCTATAAGTCAACATTGCAAAAACAAACTTGTGTATAAACTGCGGCTTTCATATCACTTATTTCTTTCTAAGAAAAACTTAAGGAAATATAAAAGAAGTATTGTAACTTATTTGTTTTTTATTTTATTATTTTCCAACAAGTTTTTAGCAATAATAGAAGACAACAATATATGTGCATGCTTCATTCATTCATTTATTAGTTCTCTCTAATGCTTTATACTGTATTATTTGTGCCGTATAATGATGTATTATATTATGCTGTTTTTTGTATGTTTTGCCTTCCAGTTCTAAACTTCTTTTTCATGAGAATTACCTCAACAAGCTTAGCTGGATTGTTAAAAGCTCTTATCTCATAGTTAGAAAGCCAGAAAAATTATGATTGTTATAGGACATTGTTTGTTTTTTGTGTGTTATTATTCTGTGCTCTTTAGGTGAATTATTTAATTAAATAATAAAACTGTTTAGTGGTTTTGGGCCAAAGTGCATGATTGAAGCATAATGATGTTGCCAGCAAACTTTTCATGTAACTTAACTGAAAAGTTATCACTGGCATAAAATTTGTAGTGCTTTTGAAAAACAAATTTGCATAAGAGCTGCACTTATATAAAGTGCATGTTATGGCTTTGCATACAGAATTTGTGCATAAATCACAGTTTGTAATTGGAAAATTATGTTTGTGTTTTTAAGAAATTAACAAAAAAAAGATTAACTTTTAATTGAAATTATGAATGTGTTCTACAGCTTAAGCTCAGTATGTTTTCAGAATTGTAGACTGAATTTTTACTATTGCTAGTGTTTTATAATATTAATTTTTTCATTATTTGTTTTTTATTTGTCCTGATGATGTACATTGAGTGCTGTCTAATAATATTGCAATAAAGTTTTGAATAAGGTTTTAATGATTTTAAATGTTTAGCAGAGAGCATTGGATATTTTATAAAATGATACTGCACATTAGAAAATAAGCCTGGTACTGTGTTACATAATTCTTTTATTATATATCACATAATTGTTGCCAAATTATGTAATTACATTCAAGCAATCTAGAACTCTATTACAGACATTACGGATAACTGAAAAAAGAAAAAACAGGGAGAAAAAGGAAGAAAGCAAAACAATACTAGAAAAAATGATTCTGCAGTAAAACCTTTGAGGTAGTGTACTGTGATTTATTTGTATCATAGCAATTAGTGGATAACCTTTCGTAGCATTTAATATAATTTTGGAAGCAGTGGAATAAGAAAAGGCTTTAAGATGTCATTTATTTTCTTCGACCTGAACTATGAAGGTATAGGGATAATGTATATGAATAGTTGAAATGTCTTGTTATGGATCACAATAAATATGCAACATATGTTAGGTGTTAAGAAATTTTTTTCTATATTAATCAGTGTCAGTGCACTACTTTGGTAAGATTTTAGAATAATTCATTCATCTAGGAAAACATAACCTATTGACAGTAAGGGACCATTTGGTCCTTCATTGCTGTTCTTTCAGACCCACCATTTACTTTACAGGAAATTCTTGTATTAAACTGCTATAAAGTGCAGGTTTCCACTACTGCTGATGGCAACTCGTTCTGTAAATCATTCACCATTAATAGAATAAAAACCACCTTAACTGCTTAACTGGAGTGTAGCCTGTTTTTTCCAAATCTTAAACTTGTGTCCTCTTATCCTATTATGTTTAGAATATAGCACAAAAAAATCGGAGACTTTCATCCTATCAGTCTCCAAAAGCATCTTATAAACTTCAATAACACTAACTCTTCCATCCTTGAAATCATCCTTGTAGCCCTCCTCTGAACCTTTTCCAGTCAGTTGATATCCTTTCTTAGTTAAGGAGATCAAAACTGCAAACAATATTTTAAGTGAGGCATAACTAGTGTTTTTTTATATAGATTCTTTTGGTTTAGTTAATGTCTATAAATACACCGTAAAATTTGTTTGAGTTTACTAATAACAGGGCACTGCTTTGATGGCTCGAGTGACTTATCCACTGCAATGCTAAGATCCTTTTCTTCAGTCACACTGTTATTTTGATTCCCATTTATGTTAAACGTGTGATCTGTATTATGATAACCCAAGTGCATTACCTTACACTTATTATATAATTAAAGATTATTTGCCAAATATTTGTTCAGTTGATACAAATCATTTTGTAATACTTTTTTATTCTTAATTAATACAGCTAAAAATACCCAAGGGTTTAATATCTTCAGCAAACTTGATTAATTTACTAATTACAGGGCTACAAGTAAATATTTTTTCTTGGCATGTCATATGTCTGACCAGGTTACCATTTTGGTTGGACAAACCACTTTTTTTTTACTATTTGAGATCAAATTACAGTTTTTTTTTACTTTGTTACTTTTCCTGTATACAAATATTGTGTTGTCAAAAATAAGTTAAAAAAAATTGTATTAGTAAAAATACCATAATATGACACTATCCCTACCACAACCAATATGATCTTTCAGGTGTTGATTGCACACCTGCATACCAAATTTCAAAATTTAAGTAAAAATTGTAATTTTTAACTCTATTTCAACAACTTTTGTTCAAAAGTATTTCAGAATTGATATTTTGTCATTTTGTAGCATTTATTTAGTGTAATTCACAAAGTAAAACTGAAAAAAATTTCAATTAACGATAATAATTATTAATGTCTTGTTGCTCACCCTAATTTCTCTCTATTTCATTGGCTTTATTATACAGCCCTAGTTTCCACCATTTTATGGTGTCATAGTATGTGGTCTGAACAATTACTAAGAAAGCACAGCTTTGAAAAGAGCTACAGGCAATCTTTGAATATGAATAGATGGAGCAGAGTATAATTTATTTACATCAGTGTAGAGTAAATAAAATGGTTTGAGCAGTAATTTATGGTTCTGTGTGAAATTTACTTGCTGGAACTCCTGTAGAGAAGAATGAAGGACCCTAATGAGAAGTAAGAAAACTTATAGATTGCTTGGGAAAATTTTAATATCTTCTCTTGTAATTATGAAGAGATATAAACGTTTAAAAGCTCGGCCATCTCATAATCTTCAGCAGTAACCTTGCTATTAGTATCCTTTAACTCTCTGGGGATATGGGTGAGTCAAAGTGCACTATGTTAAAGGGAAAATATGAAATTTGTACCCTTTTTTTTGTAGTCGTGACTCTGAATCCGGAAGAGGAAAAAAGCAGCTTTTATTTCTTCACCAATAAAATACACATTTTCCTTTGCAAAAATGGAAATAAGAGTAGTAAGGAAACATTATATTTATGGAAATATAAGAAGTTTATAGCATTTTTGGAATCATGACATTGACCTTGAGTTGTGACTTTGAACCAGAAGGGAAGAAATGGAAATAAATATTTTCACATTCCTGATGGCATAAGCTTTCAAAAGATGTATGTTGTCAGTTTTCTTCATTAACTTACCACAGAATTTTAACTGACCATAGACTAACATGCCTATCTTGAATTAAGAACAATTTATTTAAAAAATTTCCCATATCTGTCTGACATCTCATCCCAATTTAAATCTTTTCTAATGCGTCAAAATTGGTTATCGAAAAATTAAGACCTAAAATTTCATTTATTTATATCTCAACATGTTGCAAAGCAGCAAATGCAATGATCACTCTGCCCCTAATAATGCTCCCCTTCTCCAACTATTGCAATTATGTCCTTAATAGTGATTAACCATATATTGAAGGTGCTTCTGATGAAATTAATTTTTTCCTGCTATTATTTTAAGCAAATATATGAGCAATAGTGTTATGCTTTCTTGTCTTTTATTATATAATAAATATAAATTAATAGTTTATTTAGTTTTTGCCTGTCTGTATTCTTCACATTCTCATCATCTGTTGGGATTAGGAGTACTCATGGAGTTAGATATTATCTGTATGGTTTGTTAGTTTTGCAAAGTTAGTATCTTGTTGTGAGCAATTTTTAAAAAAGTTAATTTGTGATTGTTCATTTCATTTGGCTTGCATGAACCTGCATAGCACTAGAATCTGTATGGTAACCTGATTCCCAAAAGATTCATCCCATAGATTTCTACTTAAATCATTTAGAATACCAGATGGAACTTGACTTTGATGCTGTACTTCCTCTGTATTTCTGCCCATTTTATCATTAATAGATTTTCAGGGGGAGGAGTGAACATCTTAACATATATATCTTTTTTAATACTGATGCATGTTTTAGAAAAGACAAAAACATATTTGAAGACCTTGTGTAGATGTGGGATGGTTGACTCTAGAAAAATATAAAACATTTTCACTCATTTGATAATACTTTAAGAAATAATAAAGCAAAGAAATCTTAGGGGTTGAGAAATAGTTTGAAAATTAAAGTATTAACTCTTTGTGAGTGAATTAATCCATCAGACCAAACCCTGGAACTGTGAAGCTATATGTACTACAACTGAAATTTAAGAGTACCTTTATGCAATCTGGCAAACTTGCATTTAGTAAACATTGTCTTTTGTACACAAAAAAAAATCATATTTTTTCTAATAAAGTATTTCTACTAAAGATTTTCTTTGAGTTTCGAAAGCCTTTATTGAGTCAGTCAGAGTGAAATTTCACAAAATGGTAATTTTTATGGTAAGAATAAGAATACTTCTTTTCATCTTACACTTAAGTATTTCACTTGCATAACATATAAAACATCTTAAATGAATACCAAAAGTTTGTTTTTGGTTAAACTTTGTTCTGTCTCTTATTTTCTCTATCCTAACACTAACTGTAAAGAAATGATCAATTTACAATGAAGAGAAAAATGAAGTAAAATGAGCAATGCCATTATTTTGCATATTGATTAGAAAGTTTCAAATTACTTTTCTTAATACTTTAATAGCTTTAATTGTTAACCCTTTCACATCTGCTTTATTTTCATTTTATGGCTTTATTGCTATACTTTGTACATACTGCAGCAGCAGTCCTCTCTTCAGAAGCAATAAATTGCAGAGGTAACCATTAGCTGTTTCTTATCCTGTTAATAGCTCGTGATGTACGTGTCACGTTTTGCACCTCACCCTAGTTGTGAAATTTTAAACATTTTACTTTACTGGGGTTTTGTTAGGTTAAGCTGAGAAGCTTTTAACTTTTACTTTTGTGTTACTTTTTAAAAAAGATATATAACAATACAGAAAAAAACAATGATTTGTAGTACTCTCTGTGTACTTGAGCTCCTTTCCACTCAATTGAAAATTGAAGCTATTTTTACTTAATTGTTGTTGAGTCCTACAAATTTGGGTGTTCAAAAAATAATTCTTGCAGTTTTATCAGTCACAGGAATAGAATGTCCAAAAACTATTATACTTTATCTGTTGGGAACAGCATTACACTCACAACAAACCAAGAAACTCCTATTGACTGAATACTTTCTTTGCCAAAACTGAAAAAAATCATAGTAAACCTCATGTAGATGAGAATCTTTAAAGTCTGAAAGAGAGCTTCTTTGGTGGGTTTGAAAAAGTTATTGATAGGTCAGTAAATCAAGAAGGTAGGTGGTGCAAATTTAGAATTTTTGCTTGTAATTATGTATAGTTTGTATTTTTACTTGGCTGGAAACTGCAGCAGCCTCTTTTTGAAGTTAGAAAATTCTGAAATGGGAAAATTGGAACTCGGGTCACCTAACACAGAAAAATGAAGATAAATAATTTTGTTAATATTTCTATTCCAAATTAATAAGTTAAAACTTTGAATTATAATTTAATCAACATTTCCAGGCCAAATTTATTGACATGTATATTGAAAAATAGTTGCTTGATTAAATTCATGTATGCATAAAGTTAAATGACAAGTGAATTAATTACGTGATATGAAGATGTTTGTTTTATATTTATTATTTTATTTATAATAGTTTATTAATGGGCTAATTAGACATATTTTAGAGTTCTGTGATTGTGCCACTGCTGACTCAAGTATTTTTAATTGGATGGAACTGTAGTTTATCTTCTGCAAGAGATATAAAGTGTACAAAATTTTGATTTTTGTGTGATAAAATGTATTGATAATGATGCAATGACTAATGATTGGTATACATATAATTATTTTACTTTTACAGAATTAATTTTTTTTTTTACACATGCATATTTTGTGCTTCAGCAATACTCCTCCAGTTGTGTGGTTTGATGATGTTGATAAAGATCTTTTAGACCTCCCCATGGCAGTGGCATCTGCAGTTGAGAATGGGCACTCAGAACATCTTGTGAAAGAAGGTTCTTTTTCTGGGTAATTATATATACGTGTTTATGAAGCAACTGTGTAAGCTATCATATATATTTGTAAAGCAAACTTTTTTTTTGGATAAATTCATTTTTTTTTAGTTAAGCAATTGTAATCACATGTTTATGAAGCAACTTTTTTATGGCTAATTCAACCTCTTTATAAGCTAAGCCGTTATACATATAAGTTTAAGTAGCAATAATTTTTTTCCCTGGGTAATACTATGTACAGGTATATGTAAAGAAACCTTGGTAAGGAAGGTTAAGTGTGAAGAAATGTGCACATCCTTATATTTTCTTTTATAACCAATTTATCAGATTGTATTTATAAAGTATATGCATGCTTAGAAGTAATGTATATATTGTAAAAACATTAATCTTTGTTTTTACTTTTCCAAGATATGACTTCCTTAAAAAATAGTTGAAAGAAAAAGATTAAGTATTTCTTAGAGGCCATCCTAGAAAGTTATATTTTAAGTAAATTGGAGATTATATTGTTGGGTAATAATATGATTCTCTTTTTTTTTCACTGGCAGAACACCATTGGTGATGTGACTTTTTTTTTTACTGGCTGAATACCATTGATGATATGATCTTTTTTTTTACTGGTTGAACACTGTTGGTGATATGATCCTCTTCTTGACTGTCAATAAATTATAATTATGGATATATTTTTGTTATATTAGTATGTTTCTTCACAGTGATGAAGTACTGAGCCTTTTTTTTTGTGAAACCTTCATGGATGACATATCTATACAAATATTGGTTGAGGAGGTGTAGGAAGCAAGTTTGTTGTGAGCTTATTACTTCCAAAATTCTTCAAAAATAAGCTCTACATTGTTTGTGATATTAGAAATCTGATAATATCCATTTTATGTGATTTTTGGAGATCTGTTATTTTGTTCAGTATTGTATCTGATTGCTCCCTTGGCTCATCACGATAGTTAGTATCGTCATTCATTAGGTATCTGATATTTTTAGCTGGTTTTCTTTCAAGGATGAAAAAGTGTCTGCATGTAGTCAAACTTAAGGGTTTGTAAATTCTCTTTACACGACATTCTTAATTATTTCTAGATTATCTGGCTCTGATATTTTTTCTTTTTGAAACAAAAACTGTATGGCTTCAATTTTCTTAAAGCTTTCTATTGTAACATCTGGTTTCATGTATTGGAGATGATCTTTACCAGTTTTGTAGTAGCACATGTCATCATTACCTTTATGTTGCCTGTCTGTGGCAGAATAAACTCAGCAAAACTTATTTATGACATGTAAAAACTAGTTTCTTTTTGTGTGGTCACCAGTTGCAATCACTTCATGGTGCTTATAAACTGTCTGGTTATTATATAATGCAGGATCTACATAAAACAATACCAGCTTGTAGAGAAGTTGTTCCTCATGTAGGCACAAATCCACTTTCTCAGAATATCTTTTAGGATGGCATGTAAGAAATCTTTTTCTCCCAATTATCCTTTGTTATTCTGATGACTCAACACACTTCTTGCTATAATTTTGTTTATAGTACACTGTACAACCGAGACAATAAAGCAATAAATTGCATTTTCATGTAGTATTCTCAAGCTGCTGCTATGATCTCCAGGCTAATGAAGTGCAATAAAAAAGTCAGAAATAGCTAGTTTTATAACTATCTGTAGTAGCTAATATAAGGTTATCACAACATGTACAGTAAAAGCAACATAAAAATAGAAAACTGAGAAAAAGGAACTTCGCTCATTCTAGTATTTTGGGTCTAGCTCAAGAAACAGACTACAGCTCTTTCACAAGTGGCTGTTGAATAGTAATGCTCATTAAAATTTCAAACCTTCATTATGGAAATGCCCTGTGGGAGCTCTTCTTTAGAAATGACAATAGCACACAATCATTCTTTGATCTTTACAACAGTAAGTTATAATGTCCTACAATACTATCTGAGGTACTACTGTTGTTAAAATAACATAAATAGCAGAGATACAAAGTAGTTAATCTAAGAATGTGTCTTTCACTAAGCACTCGTAACAACAAAGCATACTTTGAGATAAATGTTTCCATACAAATATGCAGAAAAAATTAAAATCTGTACACAAGTCAACTGACATTTAACAAAAACATATCTATCTGAGACCAGCTGTTAAAAGTTAAACCTCCATCTTAT